GAACTGTCTTGAAGTTGAGAGTAGCAGCCAATCTGCCTCCTGAAATTGCATTTCCCATTTCCACCATGTACTGGCCATACACAACAGGCTCAGCTATCTCTTTCAAATCCTTTTTAGAAGTGACCCCTGTTGAGACTCAAAGGAATAATTTGATTCTCGCAGAAGCCTGTAGCGCTGCAGTCCTGAGGGCCCAAGTGTAGACACTGTGTGGGAATTCAGTTCCTCTTCTCCACTGCGCAGAAAGAACACAGGTTCATTTGCTCTCTTACACACACTAGCTCTTGTGATCTTCACCTCTTAAGGTCCTAAGAGACCTTAGAGGGATATTTCCTCTTCATCATTGGCTTCGAAATAGTCAAAAGTATTTCCTTACCTTCCTGGGAACCTACATTTGCTTTAATTAAAATATTCACTGAAATTTTCATCATGTTGCAGGGTGAACTTAACGGACAAAAGGGGCTGGTTCCTTCCAACTTTCTTGAAGAAGTGCCTGATGATGTTGAAGTCTTTCTATCTGATGCACCCGCACGATATGTTCACGATACACCGATGCGTACAAAAGCAAAAAGGGTAAGCAACCGAATAAGAAAAACTTAATTTTTTACTTTCCATTATATTCTGCCTCATATTTAGACATTACTTTTAACCTTTTAAATCCATTTGTCCATTTAAAATTAACTTTCAACTATATAAAATAAAACATAAAGAAAAATTACTTTATTTAGCCTTCCACTAGCTTGTTACATTTTTAAGTGAATAAACTAAATTTAACATTTGCTTGCAGTCATGACAGTACCTTCAACTGTATTTTGAGTTTAAACAGCTTTTCCCCTGGTAAAAGTAGTTACTTCCTAATGCTTCTAAACTCCTCTTACTACATGCAATATCTAGATGAAAGCAAAAGGTCTTGCAGAGGGAAGGACCGGTGCAAGCATTCCTTTAAATACAAATTGTCAGTGCAGCCACTTGAGTGTTCCTCTGTGAATCCTTATGACTTCCTATTCCAACTGGCATTAGTTAATTGCCCAGGGACTTCTCTTTTATGAAAGACTAATCATGTTTAGAGTATCTCATTTTTGGTTTTGTTTCATCACTGCAATACTTTTATATATTA